CTCTCTCTCTCTCTCTCTCTCTCTCTCTCTATTTTTCGCATAAAATGCTAGAAATATTTGTGTGACGTTTGTTTTATTCAAAATGTCATTTGCATATCCTTTTGACAAAAATATTTGTCAACACATTTCTCATTGAATTATATTTATTTCTCAATACTTTATTTACAAAAGCAATGATAATAAAGAGTAAAATTCCGGATGAATTGATAGTAATATTAAATTTCTATTATATTTCTATTCCCCAACTCTAGCAAAATGTAAAAATACATTTAAAACAAAAACATTATTATTTCTATTGTTTGAATGATTGTATAAAAATTGTTTTCACTTCTTAATCCAATGGGAATATACACGGGTTATTGTACACATGTTTTAAAATTATTTTCTAATCTCTACATTAAAATTACTTAGGGATTAAGGATTAATACTATATTTAGTTCGATTTTGTTAATTATTTATAAATATTAACTAATTAATAACTATATTAATAACTAGTAATAATTAGTTTAAAATAGTAATTGTTTGAGCAACAATGTCAATAATTAATATATTTATGTTTTTGTGTTTTAATTATTATTTAAATTAATTTAGATAATTAAACATTTATAATTTAACTAACGAATTGAATATATACCAGGTTACACAAAATGATTATATTATAAATTGTTTTTCATCTAGAAAATTTATATATAAATAATTATATAATGTATTTGTAAATTAATTAACATTTATAATATAAATTTTATATCATGCACAAATAACAAATACCTGTAGAATATCCAGAATCCATTGAATAAACAAAGAATTATTAAAATATATTATTAAATATATTATAAATCAATTAAACGTTTATTTATTTATTTATTCACATAATAATTACATTTTTTAAAAATTTAATAGTAATTTTAATTTTCAATACCTCATCATTTAAACCACTCATGATAATATTACTGTACACTATAAACGTATATTGTGTACAAAATATAAAACTAAAATCACATTTAATCACAAATAAGTGATAAATACTATTATAATTGGGACAAAAATAATGGTGACATTTGATAAGCCTTTTGTAACGCAAAATGTAATGTGATTTCAGTCGTTGTTAATCAGATTACAGGTAAAAATCCTCACATTTTTGCATTTAATAGTGAAATGAAGTGCAAAATAAAAATATCTTTTAAAAAGACATTAAAATAATGCAATTCTTATATTTGTTTTAATTTACTTATTTGTGTTTGTTTTAAATATTTAACTATTTTTGAACCATAAAAAGAAACATTTTTTTAGTAAATTTAGTAAATTATTGGATATTTTAAAAGCAATAATAATCTCAAAACTAAATATTGATATATAAATGACATTATACTTTATATCGTAACATTAAATCTAAGCTTAATTCAATACAATTCAAATAATAAATAAATGCATTTATATATATTTAATATTGACATAAATTCCTCAATAAAAAAATAAGCAAAACTACAAATTTTATTAAAACCTATACTTTCGCCAAAACGTTAAACAAAACAAAAATATTTCCAAGAATTTTGTAATTTTAATCGAAACTGATTTATTTTATTAACTATAAAGTCTCTCTCTCTCTCTCTCTCTCTCCACACCAGCATTAGCTGTAAATTCAATCGTAAATCTATATTTTATTTAACATTTTGTGTTTATATTTAATAAATGGCATTAAATTTAATTTCACTGTTGATATGATGGCAGAGGACTTGCATTCCGGAGCTTTGTTTGCCTTTAAATAAAAAACAAATACAAAAAATCATTAAAAATTAATTCAAACAAATAAATCAAATGACATTCTCGTTATACGTTATTCTCATTCTCGAATATTACAAAACAAATTCTTTTACTCTAAGAATATTCTGTACAAAAAAAACAATAAATACAGTATACTCTCGTTATAAGCAACTATACTAACAATAAATGGCCTGAATATTGAATATTAACACTCAATACAGACCTCTTTCCTGAACAAAACGGCCGCCGCTTTCATGCGTTTAATTAAATCCAATTTAACGGCAATTGAGTCCGTCTTATGGTCTTCGCTGAAGACGTCGATGAGTGCGTCAAACAGTTCCGCCCTAACAGTCAGGTCGCGCTCCGACTCGACGCCCGTCAGCAACAGTGCGGCCACGCGTTCAACAAACGCCGGGTCCGGCGATCGTTGGCCGCAAACTGACAGCACGTTTATGACGTTAATCTTGACGGCTATGGACCCGACGCCGGGCGCCGCCGCCGCTACGGTCTGGCAGTGGGCGCACAGTCTGTCCAACTCGTCGCCAGTGAGTGTAAGGGTCGGGTGTCTGGCAATTAGCGCGCGTATAGTATTAGTCGCCTCTTCGACAAGTAGCTGACCGCCGGTCGACCCGTCAAACACCATATGGTATATGTTTTTCCAGAGCTGGTCACCGATGGTCAGCGTTTGCGGTGATATACAGGCGACCAGATTGTGTACACACGTCAGTGAACACAGTTGTATACTTTCGATACTAATTATAAGTGTGGGAAACAAACAAACTATACGTTAAATTCAATAGTAAACAGTTTTATTACAAAATAATAAATGAATTAAATACTAATTTTAATTATAAGATTAGTTAACAAAACAATTGGAAATCAGTTTAACGCCAAACAAACTAAATGGACTATAAATAGACACATGAATTATGTTTGCATTTCTTATACAAACAAACAGTTAATTAAATTAATTTTGTTTTTAAAATAAACATTTAGTTTAACAAAAATAATAAAATTCAATACCAGTTCACTATCTCAGCGCCAAAGCCGTGCAGTAATAGCTTGTCTTTCAATTGGCCGTCGAGTGCACACAAATGGTCACCAATTTTGGCCAACAGTCCCTTTCCGATGATTATGGCCTCCAATTCTGGGCTAATAGTAGACACTTCGGGTGCAGTCGTGTCACTGATATCGCCATTATTTGCATTACTATCTCCATCGTCGCCATCGCTGGCCTCCATATCATCGTCACAATCCATGTCCTGGTCGTCATCGTCGGCATCACTACCGGCGCTGCCGTCAGCGCCGGTAATATTAGTAATGAGTTCGAGTGCCACCCGTTTAGCCAATACTAGATTCTTAACATCGAAATAGTTTTGTTTCAAACAATCGATGTCTTTCTCGGTGTCCACAAACTATAAGCCAATAAAAAACAAACAATTAATTAAACAATTACTAAATTAAAAGTAATTAAATTACGAGTATTACTAAACCTGTTGTATGTTTTGAGCGAAATCCACGATTTGTGGCAAACATTGGGCGCTCAACGCGTTGTCTATGAGAGCGAATGTAAACTCAAGAGCTTTGCTATCGGAACCGATGCCCATATTGTGGCCGATGAACGCCGTTAAGAGAGACAAATGCGTTTGCGATGAGTTTTCCGGCAATTTTATTAACAAACTTTTGATAACATCTAGATTTTCGGGCACTAAAAGAGCCGGTATTTGATTCTCTTCGCCGACAACTGATAGACATTGGGCTGAAAAACAAATGAACACAAATTAATATATAATCAAAGCATTCAATTCATTACAAGACATACCGGAAGCGATCGCGACCTCGATGTTAGTTTCGCCGACATTCAGGCCATTGACCAGTATTTGAGTGACATTTGATGTGTTGAACACATTTAGGGCCTTATCTGAAGTGCCGCTGAATTAACAACAATTGGATTAAATCGTGATGAAAATGATTGTAAAAAAAACAAACTTACCATAAGTTAGTCAATAGTCGACACAAATTGATATAGATTTGCGGCACGAGTGCCGACGGCTGGTGTTTACCGGCGGGTGTCAGCCAATTGTCGGCCACGAAGTACTGGTTAAAGGCGGCGACAATCGGTGTCATGACATCGGCGGTGACCATCAGATCGCATAATTTGTCCGATAGTGACGACAAGTGGCTGTTTGTGTGGACACAAGACATTAAGAGATAATAGGGATCAACTCATCAGTTGGTGAGTGAGAATTACCACAAGCAATCGATGGCCGCATTGCGACAATTCTCCACGCGATCCAAACACATGGGACAGACGGTGCGGATCAGTTCGGCGATCTCTTTGTCGGTGTATTGGGTCTCATAGTTGGCCACCG